CGTTTCGTCAATCGCTGCTAAGGTTGACTACTTTGTTTACCTCGAAGTGAACCTAGTGTTAGAAAATTATATTTCATACTTGAAACTTGAAACTGGTGAAACAGCGATTCATCCAAGGATTAAAAAATGGAAAATTGATGCCCATCGGGTTCAAGGATCGTTCCTTGCAACAGTTGGAAAAATACTGTAAGTATTCTCTGAACCATGATCACTTAACAACTAGCAAAACTCAGATCAACCCAGAACAGTTTCACATCTGCCGAGTCCTTCTTCCACACCATGGCCGGACGAGAGAGTCAATTTGGCCGAATGGGGTTATCTCCAGCGATGGTTGTTAAAATGCCTGGTAGATCTGATCGTATTGGACGATGGTACGGTTCGAAATGCGTTCGGTGAAATCGTTGAGTTTACTTATGGTGCAGACGGGTTGGGTCTCGTGTCCATGGAAATCATAAACAATTCGGTAAACATGCAACGTTAGTTTATGCACGTTCGCAATACTGAATCGAGGATGTTGCTCTTAGGGTGGAATGTGGATTTGAACAACTACCTGGTTTTATTCTGGGTTTGCTTTAGTCGAAGAGGTGGCAATTTCGTCTACCATCGATCAAGTTACGACTTTGTTTCTGCACATCCGCAAGGAACTAGCAACCCGCATAATCGTAAACAATAAAGGGATGATTCACAGTATCATTATGTACCATAAATAAGTATATATGTACGATTCTAGTCAGCGTGTATAAAAATGATAAGCATACAATACCATAAATTGTCCTTAGGATACCATATATTGTATTATGCAAAACAACTATATGGGATAAAGGCGGTTAAGTATAATTACCATTCAATAAGGTCGATATTTCAGAACAAAATTTCAGGTGTAATACAAGACATATAGCTCTTGTATAATCAATTTTAAAATCATAAAACTATATGTCATAACATTCTGGAATATTTGGATTATTAAATTTGGTTTTAAAAAGGAAAGTAAACGTTATACTGTGTTAATAGTTCATGTAGGTAATTTAACATTATGGTGTATTTTCGTGTTATATTCAAACGATTAAATTCGATAAGCACTTACTATATTCCATATAGTTCGTATTTATTCCTTTTTCTTGGATCAGGGATTATGACTGACCTTAATCTTACAACTACTGACAGCATGATACCATTATTTAAGTGAACTGCTAGTATAGTGGTACCATGTTGACAGTAGATGTGAGATCGAATTCAGCCTTAGGCTAACGATTCAGTTTTGTGTAAAAACTAATTTATTCTTAAGAAAAATCCACCTTCAATAAAACAAAACAAAAGTAAAAAAACTACCGCTTTACATTAAACGTAACAACCAATAGCAATTCATTTTCATATAACATATCAAATGGCACTATTGTGCACAGAACACGATGTATAAAACATAACATAACATAAGTATACTCGGTCCATGCCGATCTTAACGGACCATCGCTAGTGGTTTCACACCGGTATTACCGGGTCACGGTCGCAACTGCGTAATCCACCACATCATGCCACTCGTCAATCAGCTGCAAGCACTTTCAGTACTATTTACTCAACTTGAAACGGCCACCACAAAAAAAAAACGAGTAAGGTCCCAAGAAGTCGCCGAACAGCGCCAAACGGGTGCCGAATATCTCACGGTTGCCATCCAGCAGCAGTAGCTGCCACCGATGAGGTCTTCCGGTAAAGAAATTCACAGTAACTGCAAAGGATCAATTTTGCGTAAGAAAAATGTAAGCTTATGATAGAATAGCTTTTTACCTTGTACATTTATTCACCAGCCTTGGTTGATCTTCCCGGGAGTCACTTCATACTGAAGACAACATAATTTATTGAAGATAACAATTTGTACATAATTGAATTAAGTAAAACACTTTTGTTTTACACTCTAGATTTTTAAATCAACATGGCGTGAAGCAACTGGAGAAAAACTAAAATAGGGTAAACTTGTTCACTAATACAAGTACATAAATTATTCCACTTATCATTTTATCATCATATTAGGATTCAGTAGATCCCAGTGTGCGTGTAATTTCGATCTATTGTGATTAATGGAGGATGATTAATGATAGTATTTGGATTATATACCGTATCATAGCCATGCCTGTGACAGTTCAGTTAGAATATTATAGCATTTTTTGAATGAGGGTTTTCTCAAAGGGAAAATAAATACTTATCATTGGATGGTATACCATATTTTAAGAATATGTAGTATTGACAACATAAAATGTTTAACCATACGTTACCGATAAGAGCGTACAGTAAAAGTATAAATGAATGATAACTCAAGAAGTAACGGCACGACTTAAATCATTTCTATAGTATGAACCACTTCATAAATAGTTTTTGATTATGCGGGAATTCAAAGGGACATCGTGCCAAAATCTTGTGAACTGGTTAATTTTCAGGTTCAGGTTTGATGACTTCCAGTTCCTCTTTCATCGCCATCTCTCATGTTCTTGGGAGAATGAAGCTGAATGCTTGTCAATAACGATCAGAAAAATTGAAAATGTAAACGAAATCTCAAAATTTCAGGGTTCTTCTTCTTCTTATTCGCATATCAAGCTTATTGCTTTGTGCATATTAGCTTATTGCGTGCTCTCAACTTAGTGTTCTAAATGCACTTCCACAGTTATTAATTGAGAGCTTTCGATGCCAATACCAATGCATGAAATTGTATATTGTGTGGCAAGCACAATGATACTCTATGCCCAGGGAAGTCGAGAAAATTTCCAACTCGACCGGACCGGGAATCGAACCCGCCGCCTCCGGCTTGGTAATACCGTGCCTTTACTGACTAGGCTATGAGGCCCCAGGGTTGCCAAACTCATATCCCATGACATAATAATTAGCACACTTCGATACGTTCGGCACAGCGTTTGGCATAGCCTTCGGCACAACTTAATCTCTCGGCTCGCATTAAGATGTGCAAAGTTGAATACCCCATGTAAATGATGAAACTTAATTTTATGAAAATGTTTCATCATGTAATGAAAGTTTCGCTTTTCAAGCCCACAACTGCAGATTGCTTGAAATTTTTGGGGTATTCCGTTTTGATTTTACATTCTTCTGGAGCACTCTTCCAGTCAACCGAGATATAAAATTCCTGCCCAGGAATTTGATCAAAAACTGCCAGGCAGTACGTTTCGTCGTCCATAACCATGCAATCGTATTTTGTTAACAAATGTTAACAGTTTTCTCGAGCGCTTCTTTGCCTTTAAATTATGCTTTGCATTCCGGTCCGGCACAATCTGGTCCTTCGGGTTCGCATGTGTTTTAGGATCCACGGTCTGCCATTTTCGACTTTCCCCTAACCATTTCAAAACGTTACACACTGTGGATTTCGACTAATTCAAAAGTTTTGCTAACTCTCGATCGGATAGACCGAGATTTTCGTTTCGAGCGTGCAGGATCGAATCACGACGTGCTTGCTCCGGTGAAGCCATGATGTAAACAAATGAACTTATCTTGGCAACCAATGCCTACTGTGATTTTGAAAAATTTTACTCAATAAATGCCTTAATAGCAGCGTTTGTAATGTGTCTGGATTTTTTCGTGTTCGATCTTTATTCTTAATTTTCAAGTTAATTTGCATTTCAAATCAAAATACATTCATGTTTTGAAATAGTAGTTTAGAAATGCTAGGCCGCTTTCATTCAATATAAACTCATAATGTAAGGGTGTTTTATTATGTTCACTAAAAACTCAGAATTTATACACCCAAGAGCATAAATAACTGAAGATACTGAAAATACATTGTGGTTCTTTCTTTCAAAGAGTACAAACTTTACCCTCTTAGCTCAGTCGGTAAAGCCCACGAAGTCTATGCTGGAGGCGGCTGGGTTTCCATTCCCGTCCTGTCTATTAATTTTTTGGGTTCGGAAAATGTCTCGACATCCTAGATCATAGGATGGTACAGGCATAGAAAGCTCTCAATTAAAATGTGGTAGTGCTTCAAAGAACACTAAGTTGAGAGCAGGCAAAAAGCTAATATTCTATAAGCAATAAGCTTGAAATACCATGCAGTCGTAATACAAATTGTATTTTTAAGCAATGAAAAAAGATTTTCATTTGTCGCGGATTATTATTTGAAGTCGTGGATTTCTTTTGAGAAATTGCAGATTTCATGGATCAACTCTTGAAGCTCTTGTAACAGCCCTGCTTTTGATTGCCTACAGTGTAGAAGGCGAATGAGAACGACCCAAATTTGAGTTTAGTTCACTCATAATCGCCAAAAGTGCAGGAACTCAGCGATGAGTAAAATTTGTCTCATGGTTTCCTGTGGAAAACCTAAAAAATCTGCCGGAAATGAGGAAATTGACGAAAATTTTATTCAGTCTTGGAGTAGTACCAATTGACTGAGTGAATCCAATCTTTACTTTTCTCAAATTCGGGAATTTTTCCCTGGAAAAACCTGGGAAAACCTGGGAAAACATGAGGCAAATTAACTCATCGCTGAGTTCCTGCACTTTTGGCGATTATGAGTGAACTAAACTCAAATTTGGGTCGTTCTCATTCGCCGTGTAAACCAAATGAACTAACCTGTAAGAATCAATCCAATGTTTTGAACCCTACAGGCACAATTTAAACCAGCGTAGCTAGGTGATTCATGGTAATTCATAATCCCTCTGATCCACTATCAGTCCGAAGCGTCCCCCGAAAAAGTTTCACATAATAGATGCGACATGATGTTGTGACTCTACACGCGAATCCTGTATGACATCATGACCAGCGTAATCATGTACTGATCTCCAATTATTTCATTCATAAATTTGTAACGAGCGATGGCCATGGCGTGCATAAACGGTGATTACCGATTCAGGGGAAATAATTGTCCAGTTTACCCCGATGATTGATGCAGTCCACCAGTTCCGTCCGGAATACACGGTAGGAGTATGGGAGAATTCCCATGCCACACTTCGGTTTACGTAATTATAGAGAGCGAACTGAATCGTGGAAGATGGTGTTTGTGTACTTACGCTTTCCACTGGCATTTTGGACCAGAACTGAAACGACGACCAGGATGCAGATTGCTCCTAGATGAGTCATTTTACCGGGATGATGCTTTGGGTAAACTCTGTAAAAAGGTAGAAGTGTGAAAATCACTTTCATTAGATAACAGTTTCGGTAAAGTCTCGTTTTTCATCTGTTTATGAAATTTGCATATTTCCAAAAACATAACCAAACAAACGCAAAAGAAAACTCAACAGTACAGAATCCAATTTGCTCGTGAGCCACTTATTTTCCAGCTTTAATCTCGTATTTATAAATTGACCATAACGACCAACAAGTGACTTTCTTCGTTTCTTCCCCCTTATCATGTTAATATAGAGAACCATCGTGGAGAAAGTTAATCACCCTTCCCTGGTCCAGAGTTTGTTATCCACCCCCAAAAAGCTGTCGGAAAGTGTTTTTATTAATTCATAAATCGTATTAGTATTCCATGCGCTCGTTTTCGCATTCATAATGTCATTCGTTTCCGTCCTTTTTTTTGTCCTGTCCCCCCGTGGAGGATTCTCGAAGAATGCATCGTCTCCGACGGTCCATCGGTGAATGGCAACAAGCATATTCAGTATGAGAATCTGGAAAATGGAAGAGTTTCCCCAGAGAGCCCTTAAAAACCTTGGTTGGAAATTCTGGGTCGCACTGACGTGACACTGAGGTTTGTGTGAAGAAAACAAAAATGGTCCAGCAAATGATGGTTTGAGTGGGAATCGCCTTTTCCAGTGAACTACTTCATACCGAAAGCTTAAAGACCAAAGCCTTGTTTTGTTGGGACATTCATTAATGAAAACCCACGTCCTGCGTCCTCCGGCCGGCGATTAATTATTCATCGCGTTCAGTTAATGGGAAATGTCTCAAAAGTAATTTTGCAAATGTTGATATATTCACACGTGGTGGCGTAGGGTGCCGTAGGGTGTGGGCAAATATTTGATGATGTCACTGTCGGCTAATCCAGCTGAAAGCCATAACCGGGAAAGATTTACCAGCAACGGCTGAATGCGTCCTACGTGGTTCCTTGATGGAAAATCTGTTGCTCCTTTTGATACTGGGATGGTTCTGATGACGATGACTAAGTCTTCTTCTTGGTTTGCCATGTTTCTACTGCAACTGATGCGTAATCTCTACAAAGAGCATTTCCAGGCAAAATAGCAAATTCGGCCATTTTTAATCTCTGAAAAAAAAGCATCAAAATGGCGAATTTGATATTTTTCAACCAATCATAACATGAAAACGTCACTTCGAAATTTCACCATAACAAACAATTATACAAAGCTTCATGCAAATCGGAGTTGGTCGTATCAGATAGATTCGTCATTTGGCGTAGAACTTCTCCATATGCTATCAAAACTGAGCCTTTTATGGCTAAAGTGAGTCACATAGAAGTTACCTCAACTGATCAGTAGCAAGTGTGCTACTGGGTTTTTTTTTTATGTCAAGCGAGAATATTCATCTCCAACAGATACCAGTACACAGGGTAACTTCCCAAGTAACAATTTTGGTTTCAGGGGGGTTCTTGAAACCATGAAACTTGTAGAATGCATTAAAACCTCGCTAAAATATGCTATTTAAATGGGTTCAAGGATAGTCCTGAAGATATTCTATTCTCTACTCCTGTAACTTTCCTTAAAATATATGCACATCCCTGAACTTCTCTGGACACTGGACCCTAAAGTTCCCTGAATTTTCCTAATGATCATGCATCTTCTCTGAATTCCCCGCTATTTTTTTGGAGTTCTATGATGTTCCTGAAGCTTTAACAATTGCCCGAAAGTTCTCGAAACTTCATCAACAATTTTGTAATTTTCCTGAAGTTGTTGGAACTGCCCGAAAGTTTTTTGATCTTCCCTGAAGACGTCAATCTATCCAGCGGGACAAACTTAACGAATTTCAAAGTGGATACGTGTTTTGGAATGTACCAATAGCGTACCATAGCGTACCTTTAAGGATTTTGAACGTACCTCAAAGCTTCCCGGAAAACTCGTGTCCCACTCGTGTCCCGACCAGATTTCTACGGAAATGTGACGTGTCAAATGCTTACTTTACAAATCTGTAATTCATTTTTAACGTACCTCCTATTTTCATTTAAATGCGTATACTAAACTTTTTAAATCGGTTTAAATGTGAATTCTGGGCACAGAATTGGATTTCTCGGAAAATTTTAGCCCGATTTCATATAAAAAAACATTATACTTAAGTGGATTCTAGCCAATTTGAGGACCAAAAACAGTTTTTTTATTTGCATCCCTTTAAAATATACTAATTTCGAACAAAACCGTTAATTTCATGAATAATTATGGAGACGCACGGTGCTGCTTGGAAAACTCCATCATAAGAAATGCCTTGATAACTTTTTGATCGGTCATGATCAACGTACCTAACTGGAATTCACTTTCTGATAGAATTTGCCAGTGATTTAAATAAACATTAATATTATTTTTAAAAATCCAGTTTTCCGCTAGATAGATTGACGTTCCCTGAAGTACTCGGAACTTCTCTAAAATTCTTCCACTTGTCCTAAACCTCATGGTACTGCCCTGAATTTAATAGAATCCCTTAACATCCTTTAAAATCCCTAAACTTCTGTGAGGTTCTCAAAATACTTCTGAACTTTTCTTAACATCTCTGAAATTGTCAAGATTTCCTGAAAATGTTGGAACCTCTCCTGGGATTAATGGAACAGCAATGATCTTCCCTGAGGTTCCCTCAATTCTTAAAACTGCCCTGAAGTTTATGGCACTTCATTCCCGCATTTTACTAATGTTCATGAAACTTTCCTGAAGTTCTCGAAGTTGCCCTGAAGCTTTCGGATATCCTCTGAACTTCTATGAAATTCCCGAAAAATTTTTGATGTTCTCTGGACTTCTGTGCGGTTCGCGAAGTTTTCCTGACGCTTCTTAACACCCCTGGAGTAATCGGGACTTTCCTGAATTTTCGGAAACTTTCTGAAGGTTCACACTATTTATTTATTAAATTAGAACTAAATTATTACAGTACTTCTTACTAGTTCTTCATTATCTTAAAATTTCCCTAAAGTTGTGGACATTTCAGATGATTAACATAGTTTAACGTGCTTTCTTGATATAAGAACAGCCCAAAAGATCTCTGAACTTCTAAGCTCTCTAGTCTGAGCACAAACGCTACCCAACTTTGGGTAGAATCGAAGACAACAAATCAAGAAGACTGGCAACTCTTCCATTGTCTCATACAAACGCTATGAGACAGGTACAATCGCGTCATCTGCCGCTCAAAGGTAAATGCTTCGAACGAATTTGATAGCAAAGATTACATCCTCAGAAGAAAGGTTTGTGTATTTGCCCATTTTTCTATGCGTTGCTTCCACCTTCACTCAAGCGCAGCGCTACTGTATCTGTCGCTTGGATTCTGGCAATTTTACCAGTCTTCTTGATTTGTTGTCTTCGGTAGAATCCTCCCAGATTGGTCAAAACTGAAAAGGGTAAACTATGTTGGGAGTGACAAGTTGACAAATGACCAAAGTCGATCAGATTTATGTCGATGTTATCCATTTGTCAACTTGTCACTCCCAACATAGTTTACCCATTATTGGGTAGGTTCAGTTTTGACCGATCTGGGTGGATTCTACCCAAATTTGTGTAGTTTTTAAATAGCGTGCACACTTGAAAATACCCATTAATGGGTAAAAATACCCATTTTCAATAAAAGTGGCTTAACTAATTAAATTACTAAATGTTTCACCCATTAATGAGTATCTGTTAGTCATTAATGAGTAACTGTTGCTCATTAATGGGTAACAGAAACTCATTAATAGGTAAAACATGTACTCATTAACGAGTTAAGCAACTTTTCTTCAAAATTGGTCATTTTTTTTTACTTATGGGTACTAATGGGTACTTTCAAAGTAGCGTGTGCGCAGCGTATGTGTCAAATGTAATAAACAGGGTGGTAACGATTTTCGGGATGACTACCGATTCACAGACGAAAGGTTCAAAACTACCGATTTTTCACTTTTCCTACCAAGAATCACAGTTTTTTAGTTATCTTGAAAAATGTTCAATAGAGATTTTCACGTCCGGTTGTATTAGTGTGATATGTGAGAGTGTGTTAGTGAATTTCCGAGGAAAATACATAACAAATCGATGTCAAACGCATTTTGACAGATCTACTTTCATACATTTTTTAGGTTAGCCGGAGGAAAATAATAAACAACTTTACACGGCGTTGCTCCCGCTAGTGTGCCTGCGTTAAACGTCACTTATCTCTATACCTATGTTTTGTTTTCCGTGTAGTCAGTTAATTTGATCGAACGCGATGCTTTTTGCAACCCGCATAAGCGCGAACCATAAATTGACCTTACCGATAATGGTTATAAATTGTTTATAATCCCTGCTAAACTTCAACTGAAATGGTTATGGAACTTTACATGAACGTTTAATGATAAAGTTTTAACCTTAAGTATTATAGTTTTTTGGAAGTGGACCTTACAAATAATGGGTTGTTAAAAACCATTACCATTCCAAATTCTTGTTTTCTCCATACATTTTCGGAAAGAAAACTTTACTAAAACCTTTTAACTTATGGTTTAAGAACATTAATGGTAATGGTTATGGTAACCAGTAAGGTCCATGAATAGTTTTGTAACATCGTCAACTTTATGTGGAATATATCGCGAATTGGTTGCCTGTAAATTACTGATTACCAATTCACGGTATATTTCACGTAAAGTTGAGTGATAATACAAAACCATTAATGGACCTTACTGACTACCATAACCATAACCATTAATGTTCTCAAACCATAAGTAAAAACGTTCTAATATATGTAGTTCTCTTTCCGAAAATGTATGGAGAAAACAAGAATTTGGAATGGTAATGGTTCTTAACAACCCATTATTTGTAAGGTCCGCTTCCAAAAAACCATAACACATAAGGTTAAAACTTTATCACACAAACGTTCATGTAAGGTTCCATAACCATTTCAGTTGAAGTTTAGCAGGGATTATAAACAATTTATAACCATTATCGGTAAGGTCATGTGATGGTTCGCGTTTATGCGGGAACTTCAATCCAATCGGATGAGTTTTTTTACGTTTAATTG